CTTTCATGCTACAACACTACAATTGTTCAATTGGAAAGAGACAGTATGGCCCATCAAGTCTAAATTTTTACTATCTGGCCCTTTATAGAAAAAAAGTCTGCTAATTCCTGCTATACAGAGCTTTGCAACTCAAAGTGTCCTTTGTGGACCAGAAACAAGGGGCAATCTCTGGGAATTTATCAGAAAGGCAAAATCTTAGACCCATCCCAGACCTGCTGAATTCAAGTCTGAATTTTAGCAAGTTTCCAAATGATTTGTATGCACACTTCGGTATAAGAAGCACTGCTAAAGTTCTGTGCTGTTTTAGTTGAAGGGTTTGGAGAAAAGCAAGACTAGCAACTAGGAAACTAGGCAGTTTAAGAATAAGACACAGGGGCTGGGGATGTGGCTCAAGCGGTAGCGCGCTCGCCTGGCATGCGTGCGGCCCCGGGTTCGATCCTCAGCACCACATACAAACAAAGATGTTGTGTCCGCCGAGAACTAAAAAAATAAATAAATATTAAAATTCTCTCTCTCTCTTAAAAAAAAAAAGTTAAAAAAGAATAAGAGACAGAGGGCTAGGGCTGTAGCTTAGTGGCAGAGCGCTTGCCTAGGCACTGGGTTCTATCCTTAGCACCATAAAAAATAAATAAAATAAAGGCATTCTGTCCATCTACAACTACAAATTAAAAAAACAAAAATAGGAGACAGAGGTAGAAGGGACAAGGTCCAAAGACATTAAAAGAATGTCTGCCATTGGGTGTGCACAGACAGCAACACATTCTCGCCTCTGGGCCTCTGAGATTCCTGCATATTTAGTGCAAATTAACATACAAATCTGCATTCCCCCACCCCCACTACGGGCTCTAACTCAGGGTCTTGAGCAGGCCTTATACTACTCTCTACCAGAGAGCTACATCCTCACCTCCCAATTGCATTTCTTATGATTAAAGTGTGTTTTGCTATGGCATTTTTTTTTTTTTGGTACAGGAGATTGAACCTGTGGGTTCTTAACCATTTGAGTCACATCCCAAACCTTTTTATTTTGAGACAGGGTCTCACCAAGTTGCTTGGGCCATTGAAAAGTCCCTCACTAAATTGCTTAGGGACTGGCCTTGAACTTGCAATCTTTCTGCCTCAACCTCCTGAGCCACTGAGATTACAGGCTTGTGTCACCATGCCTGACTGCCATGGCTTCTTGAATTAGCAGAAAGATACTCAAATTAGACAATACTCAATATTCTCATCTCTGTAACAGGCAATAGCTTCCATTCTGCCAGAACCTGGCCTGAAGCACTGCTATAGTAAAGTGTTTTTGTTTTGGTTCTGGAAATTGAACCCAAGGGTACTTACCACTGGGCTATATCCCCAGCCCTTTTTTATTTTTTATTTTGAGACAGAGTGTCACTAAATTGTTGAGGCTAGTCTCGAATTTGCGATCCTCTTGTCTCAGCCTCTGGGATTACTGGGATTACAGGCATGTGCCTCCATATCCGACAGCAAACTATATATATAATTTTTTTTTTACTATTTTTTGGGGGTACTAGGGATTGAATTTAGGAGCACTCAACCACTGAGCCACATCCCCAGCCCTATTTTGTATTTAGAGACAGGGTCTCACTGAGTTGCTTAGCGCCCGGACTTTGCTGAAGCTGGCTTTGAATTAACAATCCTACTGTTTCAGCCTCTCAGCCACTAGGATTACAGGTGTGCGCCACCGTGTCTGGCTAGCAAACTATATATATATATATATATATATATATATATATATGTTTTAGTTGTAGATAGACACAATGCCTTTATTTTTATGTGGTGCTGAGGATGGAATGAAGAGCCTCACACATGCTACCACTGAGCCCCAGCCCCAGCCTGCAAACTATATTTTTAAGGATGATTTTACATTCATCTAACTAAAGAATGTGCTAGACTTCAAAGATGTACATTTATATATGTGTGTGTGTGTGTGTGTGTGTGTAACAGGACAAAATGGGTCTGGATTAAAGAGAAGATAGTATGTGAAATAGTAAATAACAAAACAACATTTTGAGCAAGCACAGGGAATGAAACAGTGATTCTAACTTAAAATTCTTGAAATGCTGGTAAGTGCACACACATACATTTTTATATATTTACATATAATGTTGTTAACTGTAATATGCATTTATATATGTATATAATATCTCTTAAATTTTTAAAATCACTGATATAAATTCTTTATTTAAACATTAACTTTGCATTATTATTTTAGGGTATAAAGATTTTCATATACATTGGACAATGTACTATGTATCTCATCATCAACTATTTTTTTTTTAAATTTTTGTAGTTGTAGTTGGACACAATACATTTATTTTATTTATTTTTATGTGGTATTGAGGGCCGAACCCAGCGCCTCGCACATGCTAGGTGAGTGCTCTACCGCTGAGCCACAACCCCAACCCCCATCAACTATTTTTTATTTAAAAATATTTAATGGGCTGAGGATGTGGCTCAAGCGGTAGCGGGTAGCGCGCTTGCCTGGCATGTGTGCGGCCCAGGTTCGATTCTCAGCAGTACATACATACAAAGATGTTGTGTCCGCCGAAAACTAAAAAAAAAAAAAAAATATATATATATATATATATATATATATATATATATATATATATATTTAATATTATATTTATTTAGGCACAGTCACTTTTTTCACTTTTTTTTTTTTTTTGGTACCAGGGTTGAATGCAGGAGCATTTGCCCTCTGAGCCACATCCCCATCCCTTTTTCTATTTTACTTAGAGAAAGGGTCTCACTGAGTTGTTTAGGGCCTTGCTAAATTGCTAAGTCTGGCTTTGAAATCTTGGTCCTTTTGCCTCAGCCTCCCAAGCCACTGGGATTACAGGTGTGCACCACCACTTCGGGTGGCACATGTACTTTTTTTTTTTTTAATTGTAGATGAACAGAATGCCTTTATTTTATTTGTTTATTTTTATATGGTGCTAAGTGTCGAACCCAGTGCCTCACACATTCTAGGCAAGCACTCTGCCACTGAGCTACAGCCCCAGTCCAGCACATGTACTTTTAACTTTACTTTTTAATAAGGAAAAGTTCAAACACATGAAAGTAGAAGTAATGAGAAAATATTTCTTCCCTGATCTTCTCTTCTCCATATACCACCCACCAAAATGCATCTATTATTAACTCTTGGAGGTCTTATTTCATCCTACTACTCCCGCCTTTCAACTAAATTATTTTTGAAACACATGGCAGGTATCGCAGCATTTTTGGGAAAAGTAATGCTGGTTTGGGTCAGATTTTAAAGGACGTATAGGATCTGCCTATACCAGGAAGAGAGTAAGAAACCTCCAAGGGGAGGGTCTGGTTTGAACCCCAGTAGGAGGGCAGGAAAATGCAAGTCCAGACCATTTGGCTGGTGGAAAGAATTTTATAGGTATTTGTGGGAAGTAAGTTTGAAAGGATGGTTCAGCTGGAATGAGGGCAACAACCATGCTTATCTTTGTGGTTTTGGTACACCTTGAGGGAGAGTAGTGCTCTGTTAGGACAAATATTACAGGAGATCATTGTTTTGGACTAAGCTCCTTTGTAGACCAGACTAAAAATCAAAATGGAGTCTCTCACACTACAGTTCCAGGTCACCAAACTGAAACTGAGCTGTTTATCTGACCTTCACAGAAGTCAGGATTAAAGGGATAAACAGCCAAACTCCAAATCAGCCAATTTCAATTGGCATGATAATGAAGTTCCATGTGCTTTAATCCTTCCACAAGAGAAGTAACCTGAGGGTAATTAATCAGTTATTTCCCCATGGTACTATCCCCCTATACAAGGAAAATAACTGAAGCCAGGTGCTGTGACACACACCTGTTACCCAGATACTTAAGCCTGAGAGTGGAGTATAGCAATTTCAAATTTGAGACCAGACTGGGTAATTTAGCAAGACACAATCTCAAAAGAAAAGAGAGTGCATTGGCACAGACCTGTAATCCTGGTTGAGACAGGAGGATCACAAATTTAAGGTCAGTCTTAGCAATTTGGCTAGATCCTCAACAACTTAGTGAGACCCCTGTCTCAAATTTAAAAATTAAAAAAAACAAACAAAAAAATGCTGGGAAAGATAGCTTACCTCAGAGGTACAGTGCTTGGCATGTGTAAGGCCTCGGCTTCAATACCCAGCACTGTAAAAGAAAGGCAGGGGAGAAGAGGGAGAAAGAAAGAAATAAAGAAATATAATATGTCATACACATGCCAAGTCCTCCATGGGAATTGGTCTTGTAGGGTCTCGGAAATAACCATCTGTTTTAATGCAGCTTCCTGCCCTGAGCCTCTGGTAATTGTAGACCTCACTGAATTTCTTTTTGTCTTATATTTTATTATCATATCATTATCATTTTGGTAAATAATAACATTGGACCCATGGGTGCTTTACTACTGAGTTTTTCTTTTTTTTTTTTTTTAAGAGAGAGAGAGTGGGATATCGGTGGATACCCAGGCAAGCGCACTACCACTTGAGCCACATCCCCAGCCCCATTTTTTTTTTATGTCTCAATAAGTCGCTTAGGGCCTCCCCAGATTGCTAGGCTAGTCTCAGCTTTAACTTCAGTCTCCTGCCTCATCCTGCTGGAATTACAGGCAAGCACCAACATGCCTGGCATGAAAAATATTTTTAAAATATCTTTTTAGATGTGGTGCTGAGGATGGAACTAGGTGCCTCACACATGCTAGGTGAGTACTTTACCGCAGAGCCACAAATCCAGCCTCAGTGAAGAATATTTTTAACATGTCATATACATGGAGCAAACAGCAATTTTATTTATTTGTTTATTTACTGGTACTGTAATAGTGATCAACTACAGCCCTTGCTGCTCGGCCACTGCAATAGTTATAGGTGGACACAATACCTTTATTTTTTTTGTGGTATTTTGAGGATCTGTCCCGGCCTGCAGGACACATCAACGTGGGCAGCGAACCTAGATGGGGAGGAATGAAGGGACAAGAGACACAGAAGGATGACAGCAAGACAAAAGTTCTGATCAAGCTGCAAACTTTTATTGTTCACACAGGGGTATTTATATGCTGGGGATGGGGAAGCTCTCTTATCGGTAGTTGCTGGATGTCTGCACAAGGTGAGATAACCGCAGGATGTTTCAGGAAGATAGGTTTCAGGAAGATAGGTGGCCGCAGGATGTCTCAGGTGAGATAAGTAGCTGCAGGATGCCTCCCAGGCAGGATGTCTCCCAGGGGGCTGTCAGGCTAATCTTTGAAGGAGAATTTCCTTCTAGTCCCTGACAAGGATCAAACTAGTGCCTCATGCTAGGTGATCACTCTACCTCTGAGCCACAACCCCAGCAACCACCAACACACGTGCAACTTATTTTTATTTTTTTCTTTAGATTTTATTAAGTCATAAATGTACAACAGCTTCTTAACTCTACACATGCACTTATTTTTTTTAAAGGAAAACGTTATGTCTTATTACATCATGATCCTGGCTAATAGCTTTTCAAAACTTTGAGAAAAATCTTAAAGTTTTCACGTCACCTGAAACTTTACAAATTTAACATTATCAAAGAAGGAATGCTTCTACACTTACAAAGAACCGCTAGAAAGTAACAACAATTAAAAAGCTAAGTAACTGTCTCAAAGGCTTTTATTATTTTTATTTTCTACAATCCTTCCCCCACAGTAAGGTAATGTTATTAAATAATCTAATCCATTCCCAAAATGGCTCTCTGCCATCTGCTCTGGTGTCTTCTGCCATATCATTGCATATTTATGCATGACTGAGATAAGAGTTTCCTTAACATTGTTATTATTTCGATAACCTGAAGCTGTTCAGTTACCTTTGAGCTCTCATCCTCTCCTATTTATACAATGAAGCTCAAGGCAAATAGGATGAAGCTCAGTATCAGCTCCTCCCACCAGAACCCTCACTTCCTCCAGGACCTTAATTTCCTCTACCACGGGGTCGCCCCATGTTCCTGCTACCCAAGTTTCCACTCTTCAATAGACTATATTTAGAAGGTTGCTGGTTACAATTTCCAAAATCATTATGACTTCCACTTCCATAATTTCCTCCTCCAGAGTTGTCATAACCACCTCCATAGCCCCCACCCCGTTTTCCATATCCAGATCCTCTACCACCATAGCCTCCTCTTCCTCCTCCATAACCAGGGCTACCTCCAAAATTGCCACGTCCAGGTCCTCCTCCAGATCCATTAGAGCCATCCCCAAATCCACGTCCGCTTCCATATCCATCAGATCTTCCTCTAAAGTTGCCTCCTCTTGCACTCCTGGAACTTTGGACTTTTTGCATTTCTTGTCTAGACAAAGCCTTTCTTACTTCTGCGTTATGACCATTGATGGTGTGGTATTTTTGCAATACAATTTTGTCCACAGGATCAGGGTCATCAAAAGTCACAAAACCAAAGCCTCTCTTCTTTCCAGACTGCCTATCGGTAATTATCTCAATGGTGTCAATTTTTCCATATTCTTTAAAGTAATCTCTAAGGTGGTGTTCCTCGGTATCTTCTTTAATTCCGCCAACAAACAGCTTCTTCACAGTCACACGGGCCCCTGGTTTTCCAGATTCCTCTCTTGCTACAGCTCGTTTTGGCTCAACCACTCTCCCATCAATTGAATGAGGTCTTGCAGCGATGGCAGCATCAACCTCAGCCTTGGATGAGAAAGTTACAAAACCAAATCCTCTTGATCTTTTGCTTGCAGGATCCCTCACAACCACACAATCTGTAACTTTTCCCCATTGCTGGTAGTAGTTTCTTAAACTTTCTTCTGTGGTTTTAAAACTTAAGCCACCAATAAAGAGTTTACGGAAGTGTACCTTTTCTCTCTCCATGGCGGACTCAGTCGCTTCAGCCCGATTTCCCGCAGGCAAGTGAGATAAGAGAGATCTCTGCAGACAAACACCAACCGGACTCGTCCTGGCGCTGTAGTGAGAACTGCTGCTGAAGAGCACCTCCACACAGGACCCGCGCTGCTGCTACTGCTGCTGCTACTGCTGCTAGAGAGGCTGCCGTTCTTTTTCTAGAGCCTTCCTCCAACTCACTCCAATTTATTGTTAAAATGGACTTGCTCCTCCCTAATCTCTCCCCTCCCTAATCTCAGGGAAATGGGATTACCTTTCCCCCCCCATGTTAGGCAGATTTATCTTGTCCTTGAGTTCACACCCACCATAGGAACGAAGTAATCCAGACTTTCGGGAGGGTATCAGAAGATCTCAGAAATGACTCTCTCCCAAATTAACAAGTGAATTATAACTCCAGACAGAGAACCTGTGGAATGTAGCCTTTGAATCACCTCTTTAAAAGTCCCTTGTTCCTGCTGATGGACAGAATCACAGCCTTTAGGACAGGTGTCCCCTGTGTTTCTCCTTTGCTAGCAAAGCAAAAAAAATCGTCTCTTTTTCCTTTTTTCTCAAAACCTTGTCCTCATTATTGATTGTCATCAGGGACAAGGACCAAGCTTTTAGCAACAAAAGGAAGCTTGCTGCTGTGTTTTCAGCATGTCCCTGGCATGTTCTCAGCCCACAGACAGAGTCAATTTTCCTTTGCTCAGCCAGTTTCATGGCAAATTGGTTGTGCAAAAGAGCTGGGTACAAAGTATCCATACTTCAGTTTGTGTCCACTTGGCCTGTTGTGTATATTTTCTAGAAAATGCTGGGGTGGTATGACTGTACATTTTGAAGAAGAGTAAATGAGGGGCCAGGACAGTGACACATGCCTGTAATCCCATCGGCTCCGGAGGTTGAGACAGGAGGATTGTGAGTTCAAAGCCAGCTTCAGCAGAAGTGAGGCACTAAGGAACTCAGTGAGATGCTGTCTCTAAACAAAATACAAAATAGGGCTGAGGATGTGGTTCAGAGTTCAATCCCTGGTACCCTCTTACCCTTCCAAAAAAAAAAAAAAAGAGTAAGTGAGGGAAGCTGAGCAAAGGTGGCTGAGGGAATAGACTAGCAACCAAGGATTTGGATTTAGACTGCCAAGGATTATTAAATTGAGATATAAATAAAGTTAGCTCTTGGCATGGCCATGGATTCAACAAACCATTGGGGATGCTCAATTTCATATACCATGCAAGTCAGAATGAGAAACAATGGATTCAAGGTTTTCACCCTAGAGCTACTGCAAGAGCCCCTGATACTTTAGAATAGTGTTTGTCACACTTCAGGATTCATTCACATTTCCTGGAGTCCAGGTTAAAACAGAATCCCATCACAGAATTTGTGAATTATTAAGTCCCACCCAGAATCAATACTTTGCATTTTAAAATAAAATAAAAAGGTCTGAGGATGTAGTTCAGTGGTAGAGTAGCCCTGGGTTCAACCCCAGTACCACAAAAAGAAAAATGAACCAGTGAGGAGGCTACTTCAGCATATTTCCAAGCCTCATCCTGTCAGCTACAAAACCAGTTCAGAAGTGTTGTTTTCCCCAGTCATTTTGCCCTGTGTTATGAATATCCAAGTTAGTTTATGTGCATAGTTGTAATAGTTGACCAAGTATGCTTTTTGATATAATAATGTCTTTCTAAATCAAGAACACCACTACAGGGGCTGGTAGAGCACTCACCTAGCATGCACAATGCCCAGGGTTCAATCCCTAGCACCTGGAAGGGGGAAAAAAAATCAAATACCACTACATAGACTATAGGATAGTTTCAAAGAATTCATGTTTATAAAATGGATGCTCTCCAAGTTGGCCTCTCTTTGGAAAGATGGTCAAACCCTATGGGCCCCCAGAGTTCCAGGGCAGCCAATCTTGTTGGTGCTTCTTTACTACATAACTTACTTTTTTTTTCTGACTCCCTTGGTGTTGCCATTTTCCCCTCACGTGAATGTACACACTGGCCACAGCATCTGGAAAAATTGTGGTAATACAGCAGTTTGGGAACGGAACAGCAGGATTAGGGCAAGTCATGATGAGTAAGTATACTTTCAACCAGGAATATCCTACATCATTGGAAAAATTACTACCTCTGCACTGAGATTGCTCCAGACTGCAGAGGCACACAGCTGTAGGGACTCAGATGAACCAAGAACCCATTGTGGAAGCTCAGTTGTGTTCGGCACACATAATCAGGAGTCTCTCTGTTTATCTAAATGCATACTTATTAAGTGCTTCCTCTTTGGGTATGTTTATCGTGCTTCTCCATTTCTGTATGTTCCCTAATGGCACACAAAGATTAAATTATTTTAAGTACAGCTTTGTTGTGCCAACATGCATTTATTCACTCATTTATCTGTTCATTCTCAGTCACTTGTCTACTAAACATTAATTCAATGTCTGGCACCATACTTGGGGTGACATTAGAAGTACAAAGATGGGCCAGGCATGGTGGTACAGGACTGTAATCCCAGCTGCTCCAGAGGCTGAGGCAAGAAGATCATAAGTTCAAGGCCACCCTCACAACTTAGTGAGGCCCTAAGTATTTAGTGAGACCCTGTCTCAAAATCAAAATTAAAAAGGATTAGGGATGTGGCTTACTGGTTAAGACCCCCTGAGTTCCAAAAAAGGAAGGAAAAAAAAAAAAAAAAAAACGAAGAACAAAGATGAGTAGATTAAGTAGATTATAGTGTCAGATCATTAGGGCTCTCAGGGTTCTAGAGGACACAAATGTGAAAGCAGATAATTCCTACAAAGCTATAAGGAGTGACAGGCAGGTATATACAAAATACCAGACTGATGGAGCCCCAAAAAATTACCCAGAGGAGATGATAATGGACCTGGGTTTTGGGTAGGGACCCCAGTAGGGAGACTCTAATCTAGATCGAGGAAACAATGTGTATAAAGACAAGGAGGTAAGAAAGCAACTGACTTGCTCATGGCTGCCTGTGGCCAAGGAGTGGCAGCAGATGGAACTGGAAAGGTAAGCAAGGACATCAAGTAAAGCAATTGCCCACAAAACTAGATATACCTGCTTTAGCCCTGGATAATATCATTCAAAAATATATTGGTTAAATATGCAATAGGAAAATTTCAGAAAGTATGACACAAATAACTGGGGGTTTTAGTATATTAATTTTAACCTTAAAGTTTATTAACCTTAAAAACAGTCATATTGTTTGAATATTATCACTGTCATAGGAAAAAGGTTAAGACTCATCAGAAGGAGATTGTTCCCATTAGACCAAACAATATAAATTTTCTCCAAGTTTGTACAACTTTCTTTTGGGTGCACTCTACAAATAGACTACATCTTAAGCCCTTTTTATTATTATAAGACAGGGTCATGCTAAGTTACCTAGGCTGGATTTGAACCTGTCATTCTCCTTCCTCAGCCTCCCAGATTGCTGGGATTACTGACATGAACCACTTTTACCTGATTTGGGACTGATTAGTTAGCTTATCAATGTTATTTTTTTTAATATTTATTTTTTAGTTGTAGTTCAACACAATATCTTTATTTTATTTATTTATTATTTTTATGTGGTGCTGAGGATCAAACCCACGGCCCTGCACGTGCTAGGTGTGCATTCTACCGCTGAGCCACAACCTCAGCCCAGCCCAGATTATCAATGTTAAAATTTCTCATTTCAAATTTATACTTTTAGTCTTGACTGTCTATAGAAAGAGGGATGTTCTCATCAAAATTTCCTTTCCTTTTACAATTTTAGTATAAATTAAGTTTATCTTAAGCACAGTCATACATTTATTCTCTGATATGTAGCTACCAAAAAAATCTTTTTTTCATACTATTGAGTGAACCCAGGGGTGCTTTACTGCTGAGCTACATTTCCATCCCCATCCCTTTTTTTTTTTTGGTATCAGGGATTGACTGAGGGGTACTTAACCACTGAACCACATCCCCAGCCCTTATTATTACATTGTTGTTGTTGTTATTCTATTTTTGAGACAGGGTCTTGCTAAATTCTTAAGTCCTAGTTAAATACCTAAGGCTGGTTTTGAACTTTGAATCCTCCTGCCTCAGTCTCCTGAGTTACTGGGATTACAGATACGTGCCACTGAGACAGGCTTAGATTCTTCTTTTTTTGTAAAATATTTTTAGTTGAAGATGGACACAATACCTTTTATTTGTTTATTTTTATGTGATGCTGAAGATCGAATTCATTGCCTCACACATGCTAGGCAAGCGCTCTACCACTGAGCTACATCTCCAGCGCTCAGATTCTTTTTAGGCAGATTTCCTTACAACATTCAGATGCATTTGTGTTTAGTACAAAAGAGAAAAGGAGCTAGGCTCGGTGGTTCACACTTGTAATCCCAGCAGTTTGGGAGGCTGAGGCAGGAGGATCACAAGTTTGAAGCCAGCCTCAGCAATAGCATGGCACTAAGCAACTCAGTGAGACCCCATCACTAAATAAAATACAAAATAGGCCTGGGGATGTGGCTCAGTGGTCAAGTGCCCCTGAGTTCAAAGTTCAATCCTTCCCCTCCTGCCCCTTCCTCTCAAAAAAGACAGGAGATGCAGTCTTTTTTTTTTTGGGGGGGGTACTGGAGATTGAACCCAGGGGTACTTAAACACTGAGTTACATCCACATCCCTTTTTATGTTTTAATTTTGAGACAGGGTCTCGCTAAGTCACTTAGGGCCTCACTAAATTGCTGAGGCTGGCTTTGAACTTGCAATCCTCTTGTCTCAGCCTCTCAAATTGTGGGAATTACAGGTGTCTGCCACAAAGCCCAGTAGAATATTTCAAACATTTAAAAGTACAGCAACTAATATGTTACCAATATAACTAGCCTCTAGATTTAACAGATAGTAATTTTTCTTTTTTTAAAATTGAGCCCTCAAAGTTGAGAGCAAGCTAGGTATGGTAGTGCCTTTTCCTACAGTCGCAACTACTCCTTGGGCAATACAGCAAGATCTCCTCAAAAAAAAAAAAAAAAAAAAAAAAGAAAAGAAAAAGAAAGGAAAGGAAAGAAAGTAAATAAAAAGAAACAAACCCATGAGCACTTTTTTCCTTATAAAAAGAAGTCATAACCCAGGCATGGTGGTGCATGTAATCCCAGGGTCTCAGGAGGCTGAGGCAGGGGGATCACGAGTTCAAAACCAATCTCAGCAATTTATAGAGGCCCTAAGCAACTCGGTGAGACCCTATGTCTAAATAAAATACAAAAAAGGGCTGAGGATGTGGCTCAGTGGTTAAGCACCCCTGGGTTTAATCCCCAATATCCGCCCCCCCAAAAAAAATCACAATGTTAAACACTTACAGAATTTAATGGCTTATAAAGAATTTTACATTGTAGAAAATCACCCTTCCAAAGCTGAGGAATATTAAGAAGGTATTTTAAAGACTAGAAAACAGAGCCTTAAGGAGGCCTGTGACTTGCCCACTGTACCAGCACTGAGTGACAGATCTTTGGCTAGAAGCCACATAGATTTTCACTATACCACGTAGTCTTTTTTTTTTTTTTTTTAGCACTGGGGATTGAACCCAGGACCCACACATGCTAGCAAGTATTCTATCACTGGGGTGACCTCCCTAGACCTCCACATTACTACTTTTGACTGACTGGTGCATGGTGTATTCTCTGAGACAGATTGGAAGAGTGTCTTTGTTAATTGTGGCTCTGCCTTCCCTTCTAGTTTTGGAGCTATAAGACCTGTACATTTTAAGTGAACCATAAAGTATGTTTGCCTTAGAGCAGGTTTGTACAGGCACTGTAGCTGCTTCTAAGTAACACGTGCTGAATTGAACTTATAAGCATGTTTCTTTTTTCTTTTTTTTTAATAAAATTGTTTTAATTGTAGATGGACACAATACCTTTATTTTATTTATTTTTATGTAGGGCTGAGGCTTGAACCCAGGGCTAGGCGATCACTCTACCACTGAGCCACAACCCCAGCCCTTAGGAGCATTTTTCTATCACTCACATAGTGGCATTTCTTTAGTCCATTTTCTTATTGCTGCTTCTCTTTAACTATGGCCCTGTGTTTGTCAATTCTGTCATCAGACTTTCTGGCTTTTCTTTCAAATGACTCATACAAGCAGTAGGTCTAGGCCCCTGCCAGAAAACACTGTCCCATCAACAGCAGAAAATGTGACTTTATGGGCTGTCTCCTGGCAAAGGGCTCCTGCTTGTTCAGCTTTGGGCCAGCCCCAGGGTCAGTCCAATCTAGGAGAGGTATTTTAGGGATGTGACAAATGTCTGCTCTGGGAGATTGTGCAAGCTCTGGCTACCTTGAGAGCACATTGCAATAGCAGCTGCTGGGGAAGGGACTTCTGGCCCTCCTGTGCTCCAAGATGACATCTGCAGCTATGCTCGTGCACCTGGTGAATAAGGGATCTTTACTTCTAATTCACTGGCAATTAACACCACTGAGCCACAGAAAGATCCTAAGAGGGATCCAGAAGAATTAGCTAGGGCTGGGGTTATGGCTCAGCGGTAGAGCACTCGCCTAGCACGTGCGAGGCCCTGGGTTTGATCCTCAGCACCACATAAAAAAACAACTAAACAAAATAAAGGTATTGTGTACAACTAAAAAATAAATATTAAAAAAAAAGGAATTAGCTAAATATCTTTCTTGTGAGGAATGCTGGTGGAGGAACCTGGGCATAGGAGATTGTAGATCTAGATTTAAGAGTTAGCTCTCACTTGATGCTCTGAAAACACTCAGTCTGGTTTAAAGGAAAGGAAAATATATTTTTTTCTAACCAGAAGTAGAGTGAGCTGCAGGCCCTATATGATCAGCGATGTTAATAAAGAAGCAGG